ATCTTTCAATTCTCTGCTAAGTTCCAGGTTTAGGTCCTCCCCTCTATTCTAAATCTTTCAATTCTCTGCTAAGTTCCAGGTTTAGGTCCTCCCCTCTATTCTATATCTTTCAATTCTCTGCTAAGGTCCAGGTTTAGGTCCTCCCTCTATTCTAAATCTTTCAATTCTCTGCTAAGTTCCAGGTTTAGGTCCTCCCCTCTATTCTAAATCTTTCAATTCTCTGCTAAGTTCCAGGTTTAGGTCCTCCCCTCTATTCTAAATCTTTCAATTCTCTGCTAAGTTCCAGGTTTAGGTCCTCCCCTCTATTCTAAATCTTTCAATTCTCTGCTAAGTTCCAGGTTTAGGTCCTCCCCTCTATTCTATATCTTTCAATTCTCTGCTAAGTTCCAGGTTTAGGTCCTCCCCTCTATTCTATATCTTTCAATTCTCTGCTAAGTTCCAGGTTTAGGTCCTCCCCTCTATTCTATACCTTTCAATTCTCTGCTAAGTTCCAGGTTTAGGTCCTCCCCTCTATTCTATATCTTTCAATTCTCTGCTAAGTTCCAGGTTTAGGGTCCTCCCCTCTATTCTAAATCTTTCAATTCTCTGCTAAGTTCCAGGTTTAGGTCCTCCCCTCTATTCTAAATCTTTCAATTCTCTGCTAAGTTCCAGGTTTAGGTCCTCCCCTCTATTCTAAATCTTTCAATTCTCTGCTAAGTTCCAGGTTTAGGCCCTCCCCTCTATTTTAAATCTTTCAATTCTCTGCTAAGTTCCAGGTTTAGGTCCTCCCCTCTATTCTAAATCTTTCAATTCTCTGCTAAGTTCCAGGTTTAGGCCCTCCCCTCTATTTTAAATCTTTCAATTCTCTGCTAAGTTCCAGGTTAGGTCCTCCCCTCTATTTTAAATCTTTCAATTCTCTGCTAAGTTCCAGGTTTAGGTCCTCCCCTCTATTCTAAATCTTTCAATTCTCTGCTAAGTTCCAGGTTTAGGCCCTCCCCTCTATTTTAAATCTTTCAATTCTCTGCTAAGTTCCAGGTTAAGGTCTTCCCCTCTATTTTAAATCTTTCAATTCTCTGCTAAGTTCCAGGTTTAGGTCCTCCCCTCTATTCTAAATCTTTCAATTCTCTGCTAAGTTCCAGGTTTAGGTCCTCCCCTCTATTCTAAATCTTTCAATTCTCTGCTAAGTTCCAGGTTTAGGCCCTCCCCTCTATTTTAAATCTTTCAATTCTCTGCTAAGTTCCAGGTTTAGGTCCTCCCCTCTATTCTATATCTTTCAATTCTCTGCTAAGTTCCAGGTTTAGGTCCTCCCCTCTATTCTATACCTTTCAATTCTCTGCTAAGTTCCAGGTTTAGGTCCTCCCCTCTATTCTATATCTTTCAATTCTCTGCTAAGTTCCAGGTTTAGGGTCCTCCCCTCTATTCTAAATCTTTCAATTCTCTGCTAAGTTCCAGGTTTAGGTCCTCCCCTCTATTCTAAATCTGTCAATTCTCTGCTAAGTTCCAGGTTTAGGGTCCTCCCCTCTATTCTAAATCTGTCAATTCTCTGCTAAGTTCCAGGTTTAGGTCCTCCCCTCTATTCTAAATCTGTCAATTCTCTGCTAAGTTCCAGGTTAAGGTCTTCCCCTCTATTCTAAATCTTTCAATTCTCTGCTAAGTTCCAGGTTTAGGTCTTCCCCTCTATTTTAAATCTTTCAATTCTCTGCTAAGTTCCAGGTTTAGGTCCTCCCCTCTATTTTAAATCTTTCAATTCTCTGCTAAGTTCCAGGTTTAGGTCCTCCCCTCTATTCTAAATCTTTCAATTATCTGCTAAGTTCCAGGTTTAGGTCCTCGCCTCTATTCTAAATCTTTCAATTCTCTGCTAAGTTCCAGGTTTAGGTCCTCCCCTCTATTCTAAATCTTTCAATTCTCTGCTAAGTTCCAGGTTTAGGTCCTCCCCTCTATTCTAAATCTTTCACTTCTCTGCTAAGTTCCAGGTTTAGGTCCTCCCCTCTATTCTATATCTTTCAATTCTCTGCTAAGTTCCAGGTTTAGGTCCTCCCCTCTATTCTATATCTTTCAATTCTCTGCTAAGTTCCAGGTTTAGGTCCTCCCCTCTATTCTATACCTTTCAATTCTCTGCTAAGTTCCAGGTTTAGGTCCTCCCCTCTATTCTATATCTTTCAATTCTCTGCTAAGTTCCAGGTTTAGGGTCCTCCCCTCTATTCTAAATCTTTCAATTCTCTGCTAAGTTCCAGGTTTAGGTCCTCCCCTCTATTCTAAATCTGTCAATTCTCTGCTAAGTTCCAGGTTTAGGGTCCTCCCCTCTATTCTAAATCTGTCAATTCTCTGCTAAGTTCCAGGTTTAGGTCCTCCCCTCTATTCTAAATCTGTCAATTCTCTGCTAAGTTCCAGGTTAAGGTCTTCCCCTCTATTCTAAATCTTTCAATTCTCTGCTAAGTTCCAGGTTTAGGTCTTCCCCTCTATTTTAAATCTTTCAATTCTCTGCTAAGTTCCAGGTTTAGGTCCTCCCCTCTATTTTAAA